ATAGTATCCAAAAAGACACAAGGAATGTTGGTGATGTGCTAAGTTTTCACTGTTCTCAGAAGAAAGAAAAACAGGAAGACCCTAATAAGGATATCAAGGGAGAAGCAAAAAAAAAAAAACCTGAAATGAGGGCTTGAATTGATGGCATAGATTTTTCCAGTGAGCTGGTAACTTCTTTGTAACAAACTAGACTTGATTCCTAAAGACGGTATGTAGTCTAAGCAAAACACTGTGGAAATTGGATACTTCAACACTGGAAAGCCAACATCTTATTAAAATGCACCATTTGATTAGGTGACAGGTACAATTTATTCCCAGGGAAATCCATTTAATTAGTTGGAAGGAGGCAGGATGTTTGATCTTCCAAGAAAGAGACACTTCCAAGGGCTGGTAAACATGAATTCAGGAGAGGGATTTTGCGAGGTGTTCACAATTCATCTGTTTGCTCAAGCTTGTAAAAAAATCATTACAGCATTCAGTTCTCTTGCAAGTCTTTGAATGTAATGAGTGCTTATTCCAGCAAGTGATTCAGGTTCACGTTTCATGTGCAGTCAGCCCATTTTTCCTATCCAGCTCCTTCAGTTGCCAGAGAACTCAGAAAGATGACCCAAAATCGGGTCAGAACTACCACAGCTCAGTGGGGAACCTGCACATCAGCTGTTGTCCACAGTAAGCTGGTAACACCGTGGCCACAGATGCTGTGTGGTGTGATTTCAGAGAAGGAGGGTTCGTTCTTCCTCTTACGATGCTGGTGGGTTTGGAGATCCACTTTCACAGCTGCAGCTGGTGTTTGGTTCCTGTGAAGATGGACCATTTGGCACTTTTTCTGAATTCCCCTCCTTTCTGTACCCAGCTCTCCTCTATGTGTATTGCCAGAGCAGCCAGCCATAATTTTACATTGCTGGCCGCATTCTGCATTGTATGAAAGCAGGGAGGTTGATCCACAGGAGGAGACTTCCAGCCCAAAGGGTGTATGTGATTTCCACATCCACACCAATGTACAGATACGGCACAAAACCTGATTTTGAGAAGCCTGGGGCAAGGCTCAAACTTAGAAATTTTTTGTCATTTGTAAGCTACTGTCTTTAAGCCACCACTCCCGCCCTTCCCCACAGTGCTTTAATGAGCACAATGTAGAAATGTCTCTACTCCTTTAACTCACATTATTAGGACTTTGATTCAGATTCAGTGTTTTATTTATTAATTCAGCCTTTGATATTTGAAGAGGGTAAACTCTCCCACTACCTATTTCATGGGCACAGGATAATAGATTTTAGCGTCACTGTGTCATAACAAAAAGACCCAAACCAAACGCCATCGGTACAGCGTACCCACAATGCTGCTACATGCAGAAGCCATTGCATTGATGGGCAGAGTTTGAGATGATTTTGGGGTAGATAGTGCCCTCTCAGTCTGCCTGCCACAAAGTGATTTGAAATGTCCCCACTTTCTGTATAAAGCTCCAGCCCTTCATCCACCTCTTCCCCATGGTAAATATTCCCCCTTTGATTGGGAAGTAGCTCTGTGAGGATTTCTAGGAGAAAGGAGGGGACAGCTAATAACAGCATTAAACTTGACCTTCTGTGTGTGCCTGAGTCTGCTTTCCCCAAAGTGGTGCATAAATTAACATTTTGGCAATAATACTGAGCCTGTTTAATTTTCTGTTTGACTAGAAACGTTGAGAAAATGTCATGATATTTGATTTCATCTTTGT